GAGAGAGAGAGAGAGAGAGAGAGAGCGAGAGAGAGAGAGGGAGAGGGGGGTCACATCACAAACACATACCAGCTTCATCACTGTGTCTGTCACGTGACTCTGTTCCCCTTTCGCGCTCTGTCTTCACATTTATTTTGAAAGATGAAGCTCGCGATTATGGTAAGGGGCGTTACATTTCCGACGAGTGCTTGCGGTGTTCGGCCAATCACAATGCACTGGGTCAGCTGGCCAATCAATTTTTCAAATAATGTGTTTTTTGAACATTAAAGCATGTCAACATATTCTGTTACACCAAATACACAAAATAATGATCTTTAAAAAAGCATCATATGACCCCTTTAATATGATTTTGGAAGGATTATGTGACTGAAGACTGCAGTAATGGCTACTGAAAATTCAGCTTTGCATCGCAAGAATAAATTGCATTATAAAATATATTCAAATAGAAAACAGTTCTTTTAAATTGTAATAATAATTCTCAGTATTAAATTTTTTGACTCTATTGTTGATGAATAAACAAACACATTGAATAAAAAAAAGACTGACCACTTATTGACCACAAACTTTTGAATGGTAAATAAATATGTAATGAATAAATAAATAATATATACAACATGTTAGTAGGTAAAAATTTTAAATTAAAGTAAATTTTTAATTGTTTTAGATACAAAAGAATAGCAACTTATTATATTGCAAATGTATAGCATGCAATTTGTCGCTCTTACAGTAAAGCTACTTATCACAGCCTCAAACACATCTATTATCAATCTTATAAGCACATCATATGACAGGCTGCACCTGCTGTGCACAAGCTTTTATATTCCAGAGGGCATGTTTACTGTCTGCCTTTCATCTAGAATAATGTCTTTGACACGGCGTGCGCTTTGTTCATTAGAGACGTGTACACTGTGTTTTGTAGGTAGCGGAGCCACAGCAGTCGTCCAGGCAGCGCTTTGTAGCCCTCGACATGAGCGTGTGGCCATCAAGAGAATCAACCTGGAGAAGTGCCAGACCAGCATGGATGAGCTGTTGGTGAGGAACAACATAAAAACAGCTGTGTCTACTCACGCAGGTTCTGCCATACACATGCATATGCATGAAAACACGCACAAACACACACACATTATATGGAAATGCAAATAGTTACAGGTAAATTGCAATCTGTTTTTTGAGCACCCTGACTGGGCTGGGAAGACATTGGACAGACATCTTTTGGCTCCATTTTACCCATTCATTTTCGTTATAGCCATTTCACAATAATCTTAAAGTAGTAGTAGTAGTTCACCCAAAAATGAACTGTGAACAGAGATGTAGATGAGTTTGTTTCTTCATCCAAAGAGACTTGGAGAAATGTAACATTACATCACTTGCTCAGCAATGGATCCTCTGCAGTGAATGGGTGCCGTCAGAATGAGAGTCCAAACAGCTGATAAAAACATCACAATAATCCACAAGCAATCCACATTACTCCAGTCCATCAGTTAATGTCTCGGTACTTGATCTGTGCAGATTTCTCTCTTGATTCAGACAAGATTACTTTTTCACTGGAGAAAGCAATATTATGGATAGAGGATATTTGTTTCTTGCAAACACGCAGCTTTTCGCTTCTCAAGACATTTATTGGTGGACTGTGGTGTGGCTTGCTTGTGGATTATTGTGATGTTTTTATCAGCTGTTTGGACGCTCATTCTGACGGCACCCATTCACTGCAGAGGATCTGTTGGTGAGCAAGTGATGTAATGCTACATTTCTCTAAAAGTTGAGATTAAGTTGTATTTTTTAAAGAAATTTGTATCTTTTCATCTGCAATTATGCATTAAATTAATTAAAAATAAATGTAAAAAATGTTACAAATGATATCTATTTTAAATAAAGTATGTTTTTTGAATCTTCTATTCATCAAAGATTCCTGGAAAAACTGTATCATGGTTTCCAGCAAAACATTAAGCAGCAACAAAATGTTTATTGAGCAGCAAATCAGCAAGAATGATTTCTGATGACTGGAGTAATGATGCTGAAAATTCAGCTTTTATCACAGGAGTAAATTACATTTAAAAAAAATATTCACATAGAAAACAGCTATTTGAAATGGTAAGAACAATTCACAATATTAGTGTTTTTACTGTATTTTTCTTCAAATAAATGCAGCCGCTGTGAACAATAAGAGACTTCTTTCAAAAACAAAATCAAATGTGTATATAAATGTAAAAATTGGTAGATTATCTTGTCATTCCCAACTCTTGCTGCAAAGTCTTATATAAGTAAATTAATAAATGTGACCCTGGAGCACAAAACCAGTCATAAGTCGCTGGGGTATATTTGTAGCAATAGCCAACAATACATTGTATGGGTCAAAATGATCCATTTTTCTTTTATGCCAAAAATCATTAGGATATTAAGTAAAGATCATGTTCCATGAAGATATTTGGTAAATTTCCTACCGTAAATAAATCAAAACTTCATTTTTGATTAGTAATATGGATTGCTAAGAACTTCATTTGGACAATTTTAAAGGCGATTTTCTCAGTATTTAGATTTTTTTGCACCCTCAGATTTCAGATTTACAAATAGTTGTATCTCGGCCAAATATTGTCTAACAAACCATACATAAATGGAAAGCTTATTTATGCAGCTTTCAGATGATGCATAAATCTCAATTTCAAAAAACTGTCTTTAACTGAAAAATTAGTGTTTACTATTGTCATTTTGCATTATTGACACTATTTTCCTAATTAATGCTGTTCAGTTGCTTTGTCACAATCTGTATTGTTAAAAGCGCTATATAAATAAAGGTGACTTGACTTGACTTATGACTGGTTTTGTGCTCCAGGGTCACAAATAATTTTTAATAATTTCAACAATCAATTTGAAACCATCCTGACTTAATGCTTCTATAAAAGCATATAACATTGTTTAATCTTAAAAAGTTTTTTTTTAATTTGTGAAAATGATTATAGAGAAAATGATTTTCCTCAACAAACACTTCACATTTAATGATTGAATGAATAAATGACTTCTTAATGTGAATGTGTAAGTGTCTCAGAAGTCAATAAATCATTAATCACAATTATCTGTGTGATAATTAATCATTAGCCAACACTTACAGTTTTGACTGCCCTAGTTTTTCAAAAATGTGTTTCATATCTGTCAGAGACACATGCTTTCTTCAAGCTTCATGCTTCTCTCATAGAGCGCGCTTTCCCTACTGTAATCATTCTCACACACACACACACACACACACCCAGCAGGCCTCTCACTCCGACACTCACGACTGAGTTGTTTTCCATTGATCTTTGTTTTGGTGCAGAGAGATTGGAAACTGATGGTTTGATTAATGACTGTTCTGTCACGAAAACAAGTTATAAAGTTGTGCTATAAACATCTCCCAGATTTACTCTCACAGAAATATGACACAGAGATATGGTTTGTGTAAAATTATGCTGAACCCAGACAGCACATATGTAATGTACTTTTTCAATTTTCTTTAAAAATAAAGAAATTTTTTCAATTTTATTAAAGCCTTATATTATTGGAATATGTGAAATGACTTCATCAGTTGTATGTAGACCTACTTCAGCAAAACAGGTTTTACTGCACATGTTCATATGCATGAATTCTGCTCTGAAATAAACTGAAAAACTACTGTAATCATTCTCACACACACACACACACACACACCCAGCAGGCCTCTCACTCCGACACTCACGACTGAGTTGTTTTCCATTGATCTTTGTTTTGGTGCAGAGAGATTGGAAACTGATGGTTTGATTAATGACTGTTCTGTCACGAAAACAAGTTATAAAGTTGTGCTATAAACATCTCCCAGATTTACTCTCACAGAAATATGACACAGAGATATGGTTTGTGTAAAATTATGCTGAACCCAGACAGCACATATGTAATGTACTTTTTCAATTTTCTTTAAAAATAAAGACATTTTTTCAATTTTATTAAAGCCTTATATTATTGGAATATGTGAAATGACTTCATCAGTTGTATGTAGACCTACTTCAGCTAAACAGGTTTTACTGCACATGTTCATATGCATGAATTCTGCTCTGAAATAAACTGAAAAACACTGTAGAATTTTTACAGTTTTTTACTGTTAAATTCATGGTCATTTTTTACAGTGTGTCATTTCAACCAAAGATTCAAAATGTTTAATGTAAGTTTAAAAATACACTAAAGATCTGTTTTTTACTAATCACTTTCATGTAATTACACCAATATAACAAAATGTAGGAACATAACAGAAAAATTTACTTGCTTATTTTTGCTAGAACATTTAAATCATTTACACAGAAAAATTACTTTTAAATTATGGCTCGAATGAATTGTTGAATCAAATTGAATGAAATAATTGAAATGGACAATGATTTCATTCCACGATTGAACTGATTCATGTAAATCAATCAAACTTTTATTACATTACATTTTTAATTCGTATTAATTAAAGGTTATACAGTAATTTTTACCTTCATGTATAAATACTTAAAAAAAAAATAGAAATAATATGCCATTTTAAAGAATTTAGTTTTTCCAATATGGTAATGAAATTTGGAAGAAAATGTGAGTAATTGTTATTTACGTGTTTTGTCAAAAATAAATAAATAAATAAATAATAGTCATAAACATGGGCTTAAAATTCTTCCTCCTTTCTTTTGATTTTGGTGTGAAATATGGCCTGGCCTTGTACTTAAAAGACTCATTCTATTCTAATCTCATTCTAGAGATTACTGTTTATTATAAATCGGTTCAAGAGTTTCTCTGTTCTTACCATTGCAATTACTTTGATGTGCATGCTTTATAAAGCACATGGACATTATTACAGACATGCATTATAAAGCTAGACACCTCCATCTGTCTCCACAGAAAGAGATTCAAGCCATGAGCCAGTGTTACCATCCCAACGTGGTCACCTACTACACTTCATTTGTTGTGAAAGATGAACTTTGGCTGGTCATGAAGCTCCTGAGTGGAGGTGAGAAAAATAATTTCAATTAACTGTGGACATGTTCATTTTCAACATTATATGTGTTGTTTCATCACTTAAAATAAGCTTATTTTCTAAAATGTTTTGCCTGAGAAGTGTGCGTGTGCTTAATTTCTTTAAAATAAATATCACTTGATTTGGCATTTCATATAGGAATTCATATAGTTTGTATGTCTGAATACTATTTGCAGTCACTGTATGTGTTTTATGCATGTATTATTTTGTAGATTTGAAGAATTTTGTGTGATCACAAACCTTTTTATTCATCCAGGATCAGTGTTAGACATCATAAAGCATTCATTCAGCAAAGGAGAGCATAAAAACGGTGTCCTAGATGAATCTACAATAGCAACCATATTGAAGGAAGTCCTGGAGGGATTAGATTATCTACACAAAAATGGACAGATTCACAGGTAAAGAAAAAATGACAATAACAAATTGAACTGTGGCTGGTCAATTCGCATGCCTTTCATACTGTCTCTCTCTGTTTAAAGGAATAGTTCGCCCAAAAATAAAAATTAGCTGACAACTTACTCATCTTCAGGCCATCCAAGATCTAGATGAGTTAGTTTCTTCATCAGAACAGATTTGGAGAAATGTAGCATTACATCACTTGCTCGCAAATGGATCCTCTGCAGTGAATGGGTGCCGTCAGAATGAGAGTCCAAACAGCTGATAAAAACATCACCGTAATCCACACCAGTCCATCAGGTAATGTCTCGTGAAGCGGAAAGTTGTGTTTGTAAAAAAACAAATCCATTATTAGGATTAACTTCAAACTGTTATTTTCTGGTAAAAATATGAGTTCTCTATTCATAATATTGCTTTCTCCAATGAAAAAGTTGTCTTGTCTGAATCAGGAGAGAAATATGCACAGATCAAGCACCGTTTACATGCAAAAACAGTCTTGGAAAACTGTTCTAAACAAATATGTTGATGTAACAAGGTTGAACTTTTTCACTGGAGGAAGCATTATTATGAATTATGGACTCATATTTTGGCCAGAAGTGACAGTTTAAAGCTAAAATGTCTTAATGATGGATTTGTTTCTTACTAACACACAGCTTTTCACTTCACAAGATGTTAATTGATGGATTGGAGGGGTGTGGATTATTTGTGGATTACTGTGATGTTTTTATCAGCTGTTTGGACTCTCATTCTGACGGCACCCATTCACTGCCATTGGTGAGCAAGTGATGCAATGCGTACATTTCTCCAAATCTGTTCTGATGAAGAAACAAACTCATTTACATCTTGGATGGCCTGAGGTAAATTTTAAGCATATTTTCATTTTTGGGTTAACTATTCCTTTAAGTGTCCAAATAAGATGCTAAGTGGGCCAGACTTTATGCTGATAGTCAAACGTCTGTTTTTGTGAGACCAGTGTAACATATGATTTAATTAAGTTCCTCTGAATGTTAAGTGCTGGAAAATACTAATGAGGTCTTTTCCCTCCAGGCTATCGCTGCTGTAATAATGGTCTGAAAAACTCATAAACATGCGGATTCATTCTTCAGCCACTGGCGTTATTGTTAATGTTTAAGATTATAATAAACCGTGACATGGATGTGCTTTGTCTTGGTTTGACCTCAGGGACGTGAAGGCTGGTAATATTCTACTGGGAGAAGATGGATCGGTGCAGATCGCAGGTTTGTGGCTTTGCTTGACTTTGACTTTGCTGAAACGTGTAGATTTTCTGAAATGTTTTGATCCTTTTTTTATCGTCTTAGTAAGTTAACCAGCAACATCTTGGCATTTAACATCTCCAGAGTTTTTCATGGGGCAGTTAAATACGCGATTGGCTCGACAACAAATCCGCAGCTTGCAAATACGCTCTTCATCTTATTTCACATGCAAAGGGAACATTTACATAGATGTCTTAAAGGAACACTCCACTATTTTTTTAAATAGGCTCATTTTCCAACTCCCCTAGAGTTAAACAGTTGAGTTTTATCGTTTTCGAATCCATTCAGCCGATCTCCGGGTCTGGCGCTAGCACTTTTAGCTGTAGCTTAGCATAGATCATTGAATCTGATTAGACCGTTAGCATCTCGCTCAAAAATGACCAAAGAGTTTCTATATTTTTCCTATTTAAAACTTGACTCTTCTGTAGTTACATCGTGTACTAAGACCAGCGGAAAATGAAAAGTTGCTATTTTCCGATATGGCTAGGAACTGTACTCTCATTCCGGCGTAATAATCAAGGAACTTTGCTGCCGCACCATGGGTGCAGGAGGCGCAATGATATTACGCAGCGCCTGAAAATAGGTTAACTTCTGTCAAGATCACCAACGTGACCACCTGCTTACACAGGGAGCGTGCTGGGGACTATTTTCAGGTGCTGCGTAATATCATTGTGTACATCACTATGTAACTACAGAAGAGTCAAGTTTTAAATAGGAAAAATATAGAAACTCTTTGGTCATTTTTGAGCGAGATGCTAACGGTCTAATCAGATTCAATGATCTATGCTAAGCTAAGCTAAAAGTGCTACCGCCAGACCCAGAGATCGGCTGAATGGATTCGAAAACGGTAAAACTCAACTGTTTAACTCTAGGGGAGTTGGAAAATGAGCCTATTTTCAAAAATAGTGGAGTGTTCCTTTAATGCTGTATTTTTGGACAGTAATGTTGATCCAGGATCAACAAAAGATGTTGATCCAGGAACATG